CCCTGAGTCCTCACTTCTTATAAGGACACTAATCCTATCAGATCAGGGCCCCACCCTTAAGACTTAATTTAACCTTACTTATCTCTATAATGGCCCTATCTCCAAATACAGTCACCTTGAAGACTAGGGCTTCAACATATGAATGAGGGAAGGGGCACAATTCAGTCCACAGCAGAATTTCCCACAGTATCTCATGCTCATGGTCTCCAGCCACTACATCAGTGACTCTAATGGTGAGAAACATTACCTGTCAGTACTTCATTGTGGGAACGCTGTAATCGTTAGAAAGCACACGTTATAGGAAGTCACATTTGCCTCCCTAAAACTTCAGTCTTTGCTTTCCTGTTGTCATCTTAGGATCATCACCAAAATTAAGTAAGCAAATAAATAAATAAATAATCAAATGCCTCCCCACACAGCAGCACTTTAACTAAAGATAACTGTAGCAATTATGTATCTCAGCCTGTTACTGAACCACAGGGGAGGTCCTGCAGTCCAGCTGTGCACCACCACCTCCAAGCAAAATTCTGAAAGCAGAGGTGAAAAAGGAAAGGAGTATTTATTCAAAAGCTACACAATTTTTGGAATAACAGTTTTCCTCGTGCATTAGTCACTTAAGCATATCAATTGAGGCTAAAATCTCTAACTCTTGAGTTCCAGCTTTAATCACTTAAGCCCATCAATTAAGGCTAAAATCTTTAACTCCTCAGTTCCCCTATCATTTCCCCCGTTAGTTTTTAATTACCATATTTTGCCATATATAATGCGCTGTCATGTATAATGTGCACCCATATTATATAATATGCTTCCATGTACAATGCACACCCACATTTTTGGCCCAAACTTTCAGGAAAAAAATCTTTCATTTTAATTTTTTAATTCAATTATTTATTTATATTTGGAAACAAAACCTATTATCATATCCCATATTATTTTGCATGCAGATATCATTATTGCTTTCTAAAGTTGCACTTTTAACACATAGGCATAAATAAAATAATTAAAAAGTTTTATAGCTACAGAATTAGTACTATCCATGTACTAATTCATGTACTAAAGTGCATTATACACAGCAAAATACAGTATCTTATTTCTATAAGGTTAGTTTATAAACTAAAACAACGTAAGATACAAAAGCTACACAATTTTGGACGAATGGCAGGCCTCTGCCTCAGAGACCATTCCCTCTAGAACCCCCAAAGAAAAATAACTTTGCCACCCTTTTCCAGGCCAGACCAATCCTAGTCTGTGCCCGGAGTTCCTTTTCCCATTTAAAATGCCATCCTTTGGGAACCATAGGTGGGTACAGCAGAATCATCCAGGAATCCTCAAGGAGGAGAAAGAGAGCCAGTCTCTGCCTTCCTTCTGTTTAAGTTTTCTGGCCCACAATTCCTTGCACACAGGAGGCATATAACTTCTCAGCCAACCTTGTCCCAAACTGTTTATCATTGCCTTGGCAACCTCCTCCTATGGCCCCTCTCTACTCCTCCCCAGTAATCTGATCAGATCTCTCTGTATAAGCTCAAGTTTGCAAGAAATATAATGTCCTAATTTTACCCAAGGGATGACTTTAAAAATCATCAAACTCAAGATTATCCCTTCCACCACCCCTTCATTCACCTTGAACTACTAGTATCTGCCTCCTTAAAAGCAATCATGAAAGGAATGGTATCTTATAAACTTTTCTGCCAAAAAAAAAAAATTTCCCATGACAGACTGTTTAGCAATTACATATAAATTTTACTTAAGTGCCATACGTTTGATTTATCTATGATGCCACTAAATTAACATATATGTGGCTAAAGTGTTATTGGAACTTCATATATTATAAGTTTTATTGCATCTGGTTTACACTAATTACAGTTGAGTTTTCTGATGGTATAGCAGTGTCAAACTACTATTTCAGGAGAATAATTCTGCCATCTATCCTGATGGGCAGGTTTAAAAATTACATTTTTTAAATGAGAGACCTCCTAGTCCAGGCTTTTTTTTCTGGCCCACAACCAATAAAACTCTGCATTATTGACTTTCTGCTGGATTGGGATTTTAAAATAACTTTTAGACCCACCCAAATAGTCCAGTTTCTTAATTTCCCTTCAGTGAAATACCAGGAAGGGAAGAGGCCAGAGAATGCAGTATATAGCTAGAAGTAACCCTAAACAAAAATTTTGTTGATGATTATGATTAAATGCTAATCAAAATATGCATTTAAAAATCCTACTTCATTATACATAATTGAAAAAATGTTTCATTTCCCTAAATCTTTCAGTAAGTTGAAACCACAGAAAAATATGCCATGTTTACTTTATGGCTTTTAATGAATTGGTTGACATACCTAAGAAAAACCCTTAACTTCCTACTGGAAAGAAGAGGAGGCTTGGAGGAAAGAAAGGAGCAGGCCCCATTTGAGAGCACTGCATGACCAAAACAAAGTTTCACTTTGGAAACCTGAGGTTTCTTTTGTGTTCATAATGCACCTTAACCCTCACTCCCTTAGACCCTATTCCTCTGTATTGTTTAAAAATGGAACTTTCTATGGGACCATTAGAGCCTGAAGGATGCATCCCTTCTGACTCATCACCCTCTTTCCAAGCAGCACATATGTCCTGTTTGTTCAGCTAGTATTAACGGAGCACTTAGTATATTCCTGGCTTCCTTCTAAACTCTTTCCATGTATTAAGACCTGTAATCCTCCCCATAAGCCAATGATGAGGACTTTAGTATTGTGCCTAATATATAGAAGAAAAAAGTGAGGCGTAATTTGTCAAAGACACATAGCTAGTGGGTAACTGGTAGAAGACATTCTAACCTACGCATTCTTTTTTTAACTGATTGATTTATGCATGTGTTAGTTGATTCGTGTATGTGCCCTTGTTACAAAACAACAAGGGGGGGACGGTATACTATTACCCAAAAGGATCCCCCAAGTTTGTTATGTCTGCCACCAGAGGAAAGACATCTCTCAATGCCAGAGATTCGTGAAAAGGAAACATTTATTTAATGCTGTACAGACTTAAAGTAGTGACCTAATGTCTTCATCAAAACCCCAAAGTCCCTTAAAACATCTATAAACACACACAGTCCTTCCTTCCCCCATTTTCCCAGTCTGGGGTACCGTGTCGCAGGAAAAGAAATAGAAGTTCGTGGCTCAGGCAGCCCCCAGTTCTTCCCAGTAATCCATCTTGACTGGGAGACCTCCCTGGGTTCCCAGCACCATCAGCTGTGTCGCCAGGATCTCCAGCTAAAGCCAGGTGGTGGTTCCCCCTTCTAAAGCTGCAGGGGTCCCCACTCTGGCAAAGTAGCATGGTTCTCTCTCCACTGCTCCAGCCACATGGTCCTCCCTGCACAATGGCTGCAGGAGTCTCCACTCTGGCAAAGCCGAGTGGTTCTCCCCAGTGGCTGCGAGGATGGGGGTCGCCAGTCTGCCAAAGCCAAGTGGCGATTCTCTGCTAAAGCTGCATGGTGATTCTCTTTCGCAGGGCTGTGGGAGTCCCCACTCTGCTAAAGACCTAAAGACCGAGTGGTTCTCTCCTCAATGGCTGCCGTGTCTGGGTTTAAATCCCTGAGCCAATCTTCCTCTGCAGCCCCATTTCCAACTCCTTCTACACTCGGCCACACTTGCCCTCAATCTCCTGTCCTTTCCAGCTTTTCTGGCTGCCATCATGGGTCTGGGCAGGTGTGGCCCCATGTCATGGAACCAATCTTCTCCCAGCTCCCACGCAGGCACTGTAACTCGGGGGACCTGCCCCCCAGTCATATCTTGGGGTGGGGAGAGTCCCTTTCCATCCCCATGGCCCAGAGCATGGCCACAGCTATTTAGCATATTTAAGTGACCAGCCAAAGGCTATAGGTATGCTAAATGGCCATGCCATGGATTAGCTGCAAAGCTGTTGCTGTACAAAAGAGCTCTCAATGGCCCTGCTCTGTTTATCCCTTCCCCCAACCTACAACTGGGAGGTGGGGGCGGGGGCGGTGAAAACATCCTAATATTTCCTGGACACCCTGAGTTCTGGACCCCATTCCAAATCCCTATTTGGGGCCCCCTTCTTGGCTACACCCTGTTACACCCTGACCATGACTGAACCTGCAACCTTGGTGTATGGGGACAATGCTCCAACCAACAGAGCTACCAGGCCAGGACCCAGCCTAAGACTTCTTAATGGCTATAATAAAGTGCTTTAATGACTCAACATTTAAACTCTGGCCTTAAGGCAATAATGTGTAAATTTAAAACACATAAAGGTTTTGATAATGTTGGCTGTGTTATAAACAGTAAGGTTTTAAAGGTAAACTTTTTATTCAAATATGACACACATTATTGAAAAGTGTATAAATCACGTTCAGTGAATTTTCATAAAGTGAATACACTCATGTACTATCACCTACATAAACAAACATAATATAACCAAATTCCTCCCCACCACCACCAAGTTGTAGATAAATTTCAAAGTTCAGAATAAGCTGCATTGTATAGCTTAGTTCTATTCTAGAGTAGTGATTATCAAAATGTAGTCCCCTGACAAGCTGCCTCAGCATCTCCTGGGAACTTGTTAGAATTGCCAATTCGGGGACCGGAATCCAGACCTATAGAACTGATACTTGAGTGAAGCCCAGCGCTTGTGTTTAACAAGTCCCGGAAGTTATTCTTATGCACATTAAGGTTGGAGGAGCACGAATGTAAAACAGTTGTAACAGTTTTGGTTTGTGTTCGCGTAGTAGTGTATTAGGTGAATACCAAGATCTAAAGTGTTACGCTTGAATAATAGAGTCTGTTCCAATCACTTATCTCTTAGGTACCTCTCTCCGCTCCCAATGTAGACTTACCTAGTTTACAAAAAAAGCCTGGCGCTATAGTGACAGGAAATTAACTTCCGGAGGCAAGACAAGTCTAAGCCAATCAAAAGTCAGGCTCGAGCCGCTAGCCCATCCTGGAGGTGTGATTGGTGAATCCCCTGCGGAAGAGCCGGCCGTGGCACCATCCCCGCCCTACGGCGCAAGCCAATTGTCGCCCGGAGTTCAAAATAGCAAAACCGCGCTTGTGGTGGAACATGGCGGCGTGTAGTGGCGGAGGGTCTCCTAGCTCCCGGGGGCGTGCGGACGGGGAGGATGCGGGACCCTCGGATGAACTTCTGTGGGAAAGGGCGAAAGATAATGAGGAGTCGTTCGAATGCCAGGAGCTGTTCGAGTGTCAGGCTGAGATGGGGGCCCCGGAGGAAGAGAAGGATGAGGGCTTGGTGGCGGAGGCTGAGGCGGTAGCTGGCGGCTGGATGCTGGATTTCCTCTGCCTCTCTCTCTGCCGAGCCTTTCGCGACGACCGCTCCGAGGACTTCCACCGAATGCGCGACAGCGCAGAGGGTGAGTGCCGCGTACGCGGTGGGCGGGCGGACGGCGGAGGCCTAGTTTGCGGAACTCACCCCCTGAAGGATCGGCTGAAGAGCGGAGGCGCAGAGGGCAAGATTGAACTGTTCGCTGTAATTTCGCATCCGCCTATTGTCAGCTCCTCAGTTTTTCTCCGATTCTAAATTTTTCTGATAAAAGTGACAATAAGATCCCGTTTAGAGTTGATACAAGATTAAATGAGTTCCAGTTGTACAAAATCGCGCCTAACCGAATGTCCAATTCCTTTTGTCTTTGTTGGCATAATGTTTTTCTTTCGACTCAGGTATTTCTCTAATGGCAGTTAGTCAACAGTCATTGTGGTCTCCAAGTGATCTAGGCCTCAGTGTTTTCTGTTAATCTGTGAGCTACTGAAACCGCATTTGGCCTGCTACTCAGTATTGTAGACTTCAGAATAATAGTAACAGTCAATGAAATCTACTGCCTAGACATTTACAGCCCGTAAATGATGAATAAAGACATAGGTCCATAGAGAAGGTCCATAGGTCCTGGCGTTTTGAATGGTAACAGAAAGATGCGTTACCGTACTAGGGAGTCCGTTTGCCTGCTTGTATCAAAGCCCAGTAAGACATGAACAGAAGTTTGCAGCAAGGAAAGTAAAGTAAGGGTTTGTTTTTAGAAAGTGATCCAAGCCAAAAGGCAGATGAGCTAATGCTCCAATACCTGGCTTCCCAATAGCTTCCAAGCCATGGGTCATTATTAATCAGGGTGACTAAGGGAGTCAGGGTTGTGGTCTCTCTTGTTTGGTGAGTGCTAAGGTAGGGGTCGCTGATCAGTGCATCTGGTTCTGATGTCAGACACATGATGGATTCCTAAGATTATGTGATGCCAGCCAGAACCTCACTGTCCTGAGGGCTTAATTATTAAGGGAGAAGAAGGCAGGTGAGTCAGGATGCTGGGTGAGGCCAGTTTTATTTTTTGTCTCCAAGTGTCAGATGTCCATCATCCAGACCCCAGCCAGAATGCTGAGTGTACGCCACCTAATGATAGAAAATGTGACACAACAGCCACATCTGCAACACTTCTAGGGGCAGTGAGGCCGGTTTGAATCACAAAGAAGGAAAGGAGAAAAGGTCATATTAAAGAAATGAAGTTTCTATGCAGTTACAGATGCTCTAGTATTTATTGCAGAATTGGCATTCAACTTATTGCAGCCAAATGCAGCCCCACGATAATATTAAATAGAAATACTTAAAACCATATTAATCCCAGGAGTTAGGCAAATAGTGTATAGAGAAGTAAACTAGTTAAGCAACCTAAAATATTGATAGCTTTTAACCCCTTTTAAGGGGTATTCTACACCCATGCCCTATCATCCAATACAAGAATCTTTCCTCTGACTGTGTCACAGATACCACTAGAATCATTAATTTAACTCAAGAAAGCTAAGTCCTGGATTGAAGCCAGTGCACCATAATTAGAATTATTAAAAAATCCTCTTTGGGGAGGAGGCTAGAATTATCTATGTGGTGATGAATTTCAGTTGGAAACATGAGCTCGTTTAACTTAAAATAGGTATTGATGGCTAGATATAGAAATACATCTGCATATTTTTTAAATCCTCACCAGAGGATAATTTTATTTTATTGATTTCATTTTTTTCCCACATTTGTTTTATTGTTGTTGAAGTACACTTATCTCCATTCCCCCCCCCCATGCCACTCTCACCCACCACAGCCAACCCCCCTTCCCACCCTTGATCCCACCCCACTTTGGTTTTGTCCATGTGTCCTTTATACACATTCCTGAAAACCCCTCCCCTTTTCCCCCCTTTATCCCCTCCCACCTCCTCTCTGGTTACTGTCAGATTGTTCTTAATTTCAATGTCTCTAGTTATATTTTGCTTGCTTGTTTTTTCACTTAAAGATGACTATTTTGTTAAAGATTTTATTTATTTTTTGAGAAAGGAAAGGGAAGGAGAAAGAGAGGGAGAGAGAGAAACATTGATGTATGAAAGAAACAATCTGGATCATTGTCTCTCACATGCCCCCAACAAGGGACTTGGCCTGCAACTCAGACATGTGCCCTAACTGACAATGGAACAGGCAACTTTTCTGTTTGCAGTCCAACACTCAGCCCATTGAGCCTCACCAGCCAGGGCCATATGCATATTTTTATAAATGTATGGACCCAGGTACTATACTCATTAATTCCCTTGTTCTGTTAGATGGAAAGTTATAGACTCAGTGTAACCCTTGTATCAACAAGTACACCTACCTCTCAAGTCTTGGTTCCCAATACTATTTATCCATAAGGGGAACCAGAGCTCTTTGGAGAAATGGCCTGATTATAGTACTGGGACAGGAAATGTACAGTATGAACCTGGGGTATTTTTGTGCCAGAAAGTAAGGAAGTGCTAAAGACAAAACAAAAATACCCACATCAGTGGGGCTACTGAGTGCAAGAGCTCCCCAATAGCTAAAGCTGAAACAACATGGACAAGAAAGTAAAAAGTATTAGATTATAACCCAAAGTATAAAATAAATATCCATGAATCCATACAGATATAAATAAATGATGGCATAATTAAATAAGTGGGAGAAGAGGCAAATCTCCCATGAAGAATTTCAGGTAATCTATGCAGCTACCCTGTCGTCAAGGAGGTAGAGCATGACCACCAATTTCTTAATTGGGGGCTTTACATAGGGACTTTCTTCTGAAGAGTACAGGATGAGAAGGGGAAGAAAGAGTATACAATAAAGAAACCTGACAAACTCTACCTCACTCAGGCAGTCAAGGTCAGGCTTATCAGTGATAGTTGGTAGTATGTATACTTGATATATGATGAAAATGGAACTGTGCCTCTGTGGTTTTCCTCCCCAAGCCTCTTAACTCCAGTCTAATCATGAGAGGTAAAAAATCAGACATATCCCAATACAATTCTCAAAACCGTCAAGGTCATCAAAACCAAGGGAAGTCTAATGACTAAATGTAATGTGGTGCCTTGGATGGAATCTTGCAGAAAAAGGGCATTGTAAAGACTAAGGAAATAAGCATAAAGTGTGAACTTTAGTTAGTGCATCAATGTCAGTTCATTAACATATGCCAAACTAATATAAGATGTTAATAATAGGGGAAACTGCCCTGGCTGGTGTGGCTCAGTGGATTGAGCACCAGACTGCAAACTGAAAGGTTGCTGGTTCGATTCCCAGTTAGGGCACATGCCTGGGTTGTAGGCCAGGTCCCCATTCAGAGGCATGCAGGAGACAACCAACTGATGTTTCTCTCCCTCTCTTTCTCCCTCCTTTCCCCTCTAACAATAAGTAAATAAAATCTTTAAAAAAATAATAGGAGAAACTAGAGGGTATATGGCACCTCTACTGTTTTTACACAATAATTCTGTAAATTTAAAACCATTCTAAGAAATAAATTTATGAAAAACATAAAAACCCCTTTCAAGGTTCTAGCTCAAGACCAGAGAAATAATATAGGCCACTTCGATTTTATTCAGGTTAAGGGCACAGAATCCCAGAGAAAGGGAACTGTTTTTCAAGTTACTGTTCTAATCAGTGGAAGATAAGCAAATTGTGAACATTGTTTTGTCTCTGTATTCCATTTTTGACTGAAGGGACTCATTTTATCCCATCTATAGAACTTCATTTATTATACTTCATGATTGTAAAAAAATGTACAACTTGATGCTTTTTAGAAAATTCTTAGCTCTTTCATTCCAACCCAGAATTGTTCTCACGCCTGTCAGATGACACCTTTTCCAGATTCTTATTTCTAACCTGTCTCCCACCATGGGAAGCACTGTGGACTGCAGGGTAGTGATTAAGAATATGAACTCCAGAGTAAATTGTCTGAATTTGATTCCTGGTCCTGCTACTTTATAGCTGTAAGACCTAAAGCAAGTACTTACCCTCTTGGTACCTCAATTTCCTAACTTGTAAAATGGTGGTAATAATAGTAATGACCTCATAGGGCTGTTGAGAGAACCAAATGAATGGATATGTGTAAAGCAAGGTTTCTCAACCTCAGCACTGTTGACATTTTGCTCCTCATAATTCTTTGTTTTGTGTGTGCATGAGGTGGAGGTGCATGGGGGGATGCAGGTGCCCCAGTGCATTGTAGGATATTTAGCAGCACTTCTGACCTCACCCAGTAGGTGCCATTAGCAGCCCCTTCCACCCATGACAACCCAAAAGGCTCCAGACATTGCTAAATGTTTTTTTAAGTATATTTTATTGATTATGCTCTTACAGCTACCCCATTTTTTTACAGCTCCCTCCACCCACCACTCCCATTCCCTCCAGCATTGCACCCCCCCTCCCCCTTAGTTCATGTCCATGGGTCATACATATAGTTCTTTGGCTTCTGCATTTCCTATACTACTCTTAAGTCCTCCTGTCATCTACCAATTATGCTTCTTACTCCCTGTGCCTTTTTCCCCATTCTACCCACTCCCGGCTGATAACCCTCCACGTGATCTCCATTTCTGTGATTCTGTTCCTGTTCTAGTTTGCTTTGTTTTTGTTATTTTAGGTTCAGTAGTTGATAATTGTGAGTTTATTGTCACACTAAATGTTTTCTAAGAGACGGAATCACCCCCAGTTGAAAACCACTGGTATAAAGTACTTAAGAATAGTGCCTGGTGTTACACGTGCTTAAATATAGTTGTTATTGTTGCTAGTTATTAGATCCTCCCTAATGCATTTTTCTGCCAGCAGTGTTTGGTACAGGTATGGGAGAAGCAGCTAGCTAGGTTCAATTAGAGTAGGTTTTCCTTGTGCAGAAAGACGATGGTGTGTAATTTAATTTGTGCTGTTTTAGACTAAAACCACGTGAGGGGCAGGAACCAGCTGGCTATCTTACCATTCAGTCATCAGTTCCTAATATTGGCTAGAAGTAGATGTTCAGGAAATATTGAATGAATTGTGTTTAAATTTTATTTAAATTGTGTGCTGTTTTTGAATCCTATTTAATATCTTATGGCTATATTTGCACACTCCTTCCCTCCCCACAGATAATTGCTGGTATGTTATAAGATTATGGCAGTTTAGAATTGAGGAAATGTATTTATTTGTTTTATCTGCTTAGTGCCTGCCGAATTGCTTTTTGGTTTTTATATTTACCAAGTCAGTCCTAGGTGAAGTATTATATAATGGCACCTTTAGGTCTTAAACATTGTTTCCTCAGAGAAGACTTACCTGATGTAACATTTCTTTGCTATATGCTTCTGTAGCATTCTATACTTATCTTTTTCAGTTGCCCCCACATTTTTACTTTAGTTGTTCAGTCATTTGTCTTTCATTGCTACATGGTCCAGAATTATGGTTTACTTGACATTGTATATACTCACTGTCTAACATAACATCTGGTCAGTATTCAGATATTTGGGAGATTAGTATAAATAAATATTTTTAAAATAAAGTTTTGAGCCCTGGCTGGTGTAGCTCAATGGGTTGAGCACAGGCCTGTGAACCAAAGGGTTGCCGGTTTGGTTCCCAGTCAGGACACATGCCTGGGTTGCAGGCCAAGACCCCAGTGGGAGATGCATGAGAGGCAACCACACATTCATGTTTCTCTCCCTCACTTTCTCCCTCCCTTCCCTTCTCTCTAAAAAAAAAAATAAATAAATAAAATCTTAAAATAAAATAAAATAAATCTTTGAAACTGAACAGACTCACTTAACTGAAACCTTGACAGAAATAATATAAAATATTTTCTATAATATTATGAATTTGAAGGTATAAAATAAGCTTCCAGATAGTGACTTGACACATTTTATTATTTGGATCTGTAGTTCCCTTTTTGTTAAGCGCTACCCGTGAAAGTAGTTTTAAATATTTATTGTTCTACTTGTGAAGCGCCAGCTTTATTTTATAAGTGTTTATTGCTGTCTTCTTGTTCTGATTTTTTGTTTTTATTTTTGAGAGTTATGTTTATTAAAGCTGGGGATAGTGAAACAGGGAGAACTTAGAACAGGAGAGAGCCTAGGGGGAGCCGCCTTGTCTCTCCAGAAATATTATAGGAAAGAACTGAGCTTCGGCGGAGCTGCTGTTAAGAGCAGTGAAGAGTCAGAGAAAACAGGGCTTTGGAGACAGGTTCAGGGGGTTAGCCCAGGATGAGCTTCCTCTGCCCATTGCTCCCCTGGTTGCAAGGCTAGTGGGGACTCTTTTATTTGTTTGTTTGTTTTTAAGATTTTATTTTTTTTATTTAGAGAGGGGGAAGGTAGGGAGAAAGAGAGGGAGAGAAACATCAATATGTTGACTCTCACATGCACCACAACCGAGGACCAGCCCCAACCCAGGCATGCGCCCTGACCAGAATCAAATGGATACCCTTTCGCTTTTCAGGACAACACCCAACCAACTGAGCCACACAAGTCAGAGCAAGGGTTTTTTCAATGTTTTAATAAAATTCACTTTTTTCTTTTTCAGCTATTATTCATGGATTATCCAGTCTAACAGCTTATCAATTAAGAACTGTGTATATATGTCAGTTTTTGACAAGAATTGCTGCAGGAAAAGCTCTTGGTAAATATGTGTTTTTATCTTATATTGGAAATATTTCAATCCATGTCTAAAATAAAACAATGAGGAGAAACAGGTGAGAGCTGTCATTTGTTTTTGAGTGTTGCCCATATGTATTTGTCATGTATGTTTACACACAAGCATTTCTAAAGCAAGTAAAAACTATAGTTCCTATATTCTTAGAGCATTGGTTCTCAAACTTTAGCCTGTTTCAGTATTGTTAGAGAACTTGTTGAAAAAAACAAACAAACAAACCCAGAATGCTAAGTCCCCTTCCCCTCCATGAATTTCTGATTCAGGATGTGCAATAGGACTGTTGAGGGGCCCTTTCAGTTACATTTCCTGTAAGTTCCCAGGTGACTCTGATGCTGCTGTCAGGGTCCTATGCTTCACAGACTGTACCTTGGAGATTTTAATTTAAATTTGTAATTTAAAATCTTTTCTTTATTTTTATTGTTGACATTATTGTAAATGTCCCCATTTCCCCCCATCCTTTGCCCCCTCCTCCCAGCCTCCACTGCCTCTTCCCTCTGGCCATCACCACAATGTGTCCATGGGTTATACATATATGTTCTTTGACTACTTTTGTGGTGACTCATCCTGTTATGCACACTCCATTTTTTACTAGCAACTATGATATTTGAAGCCTCTTACTTGATTTCAGCACGTACTTATAAGAGGGAAATGATTTACATCTATAATATCCTGTCCCTTGTACCCAAAGTTCATTTTAGATTGTAACAGACATGCCTAATTCAGTGTATCAATAATGGCTGATATTACACCATAGTTATTTAAAGGATCTTTTGATGCAAATAATTACATATTTATATTGGTTCATACAATGCTTATACAAGCGGTAGGCAATACTTACATGAAACTGCTTACTTACGAACATGTTGTATTACATGAAATCCCAGTGTGTTAATACTACTCCCAAGGCCCTCACTAGTCTATCTGGCTCATGTAGTATGCTTTGTTAGTTAGGTCTGGAGTCATTGTGGACAGGACTAGAGGCAGAGGAGATGTGAGAAAGACAGAATTATAGGTGGGTCTAGGCCTGTTGCTGAAGAGAAAAACAGGCTGATGTGGACACAATTGGAGATTTTCTGACCATGCAGACCATAAGTTAAGATGGTTGTTAATAGAGTTGTTTTGCAGTTAAATGTAACAAAATATTCTGCGGTGCTCAACTGTGCTTGGCATTTTTTCAGTGTATCTTACTTTTCCCCCCTTCCTTTCCTCCCAAAAAAAGAGTGCAGGAAACTCAGATTTTATGTATGACCCCCCATAGTTTAATCTTAAATTCACTAGAATCCTGCTTTGAGTATATCTTAGATACAATAGGCCAGGGACTATTACCAAAAATAAATATATTTCACTGTAATGGACTCAAGTGAGATGCATTTTAAATTTCATTTTAATTTATTTATTGGATTTTCAACTATACACACCCTTTTGCATTTTTTTATTTGTTGTTTTACATCAGCATCGCCTGATAGAAATATAATGTGGGCCTCATATATAATGGGAAGTTTTGTAATAACACCATTAAGTAAAAATATTTAGAAAAATGAAGGGCTGGAAAATGATACTGCAAGCAAATGGCATCCAGAGAAAAGTGGGTGTAGTTGTGCTTGTGTCAGACAAAATAGATTTCAGGACAAAAAAGGTAATGGGACGATGATGGCAGATGCTTTATAATGATAAAGGAAATGATACATTAAATAAATTACCAAGAATTAGGTGGAATTAATTTTAGCAATATCTTCTTTAACCTAGTATTTCTAAAATATGTGCCAATATATCAATATAAAATATGTTAATGAGATTTTTACCCCCTTTTGTAGTAAGTCTTTAGATTAGCATATTTTAATTGCTGAATAATTGCATATAGCTGGGGGCTACCATGTTAGCTTTAGTCTTCTGCCCCACATAGCTTTAAAATATGGCAAATGCTGTGAAGGGGAAATGTTTGTTTGCTTCTCCTTTCATGGGACTTTATATCTTAAGACCCATGCAACTCTGGGAGATTTCCCTCCCTTTCCACCCAGCTTCCTACACTGTCCCAGAACTCAGCAAATGTTCTGTGGGGGAAAAACATTTGTTTTCAGTTTGTCTAGTTACCAGTCCACCAAGCTAGCCCCAAGGAAACCACCAGAAGCTTTTTTCATTTGTCTTACCCCAGTAAAATCTCTGTATGAAATACACTGGATCCTCTCAGCCTGAATAGCAAATGGGCTCAGGAAAGAAAATGGCTACAAAGCGTCAGCTCACTCAGGACTCTCCCACTGGAACTGTGGTTCATCAAGTCCTCATTGCTTCTGCAGCTATCCCATGCCTACAGCAACACGACTGCAATTTATCTAGTTTTTTCTAGTTGTGGGAGTGTTGGCCTGCTGCAGTATCCCACATCCTACCTGAAAGGTTACGCTGTAAATTTTTTGAAGATCTAACGTAAACATATATTCTATATCTCAGTTATAAGAAGGAAGGCAGATTAGTGAGGGGGGTTAGTAATGTCAGTCAGGAAAGATTTATTAGGAAAGATGGCTGTTAAAGAAAGCAGATGTGAAATGAACAAGGACTAGGCAGTCTGCCTTTGCATTTTTACTTCATGCTTTACATGTACTTTGGTCATACCAGCCATCTTGTTATTCCTGAAATGCACCTTCATTGAAACATAGTACTTTTTAAGGGTTCTGCTGTCTGCTTCTACTGCTTGGTAGCTGTGTGAACTCTGCAGATCTCAGGTTCTCCTTTAAAAAACAAGGTTATTGTGCCCCTTTTTTATTGTGTACACTACTAAGGAAATTGTGTGGACAAAGGAGATACTGGATGTTAAGCACTTAGCACAGTGCCTGACACATAGTGGGGCCTCAATAAATGTTAACTAGGAATTTGAATATCTTTTGTACACCTGCCTTATGTTCTTCTGCTCCATCTTCTGAAATATTCTCTTTCCATTTTTGTCCTTTTCTCTTGGTTATCTTCTGTTTGTTCTTAATGACCCAGTTCAAATGATTTCTCTTTGAGGGAAGGTTCTCTTCTAATATCCCTTCTTAGATCTAATACTCTTTGCCTCAAATACACTAGTCTCTCCTAGATAGTTTTTAAAAAATAGAGATGCATGGCCTCTCCCCTATACTAACTAAATCATTCTCTGGCGTAGGCCTAGGCATCAGTAATTTTTAAGAGTTCCTCAGATGATTCCAAGGTATGGCTAGGAATCATCTGAGGCCATAATATAGGGCAAAAGTGGGTTTACAGTTGAGTATATACAAAACACGGAGTTTATTCTTATATTATTTATTAGTTACTGTATTTTTTTCCATACAAACAACTGTAAACCTACTTTTCCCCACCCTGTGTGATTATAGTGAAGTCCTAGTCACATAGGTTTGTCTACATGTCTTCCTTCATGGCTAGCATGGGAGTTCCACAAGGGCAGAAGCTTTTTCTTCTTCATGTTTGTATCCTCAGAACCTGGCACAGAGCCTAGACTATAAGGAGGCTTAGTATATGAATGAATATATTTTTATATCCAAAATGTTGGTGAAACAATTAGGAGAGAACCACAGGAAATAAAGTAGGAATCATGGAAACTGCTAGTATTAAATTGCATGCTCCCTCTAATTTTGCAAAAGAAAAAAAATGGATGTGCCTTTCACAGTTCTCTTTAGTATGTTTATTTTTACATAGTTGCCATGGAACTGCTAGAGTACCAGGAACTACAGGGTTTGAGAGGAATATACTATGTAGCTCCTGCCCTCAAAATTTGAAATATAATCATCATGCATTGTAGTCTGAGAGGTTTTCTGCCTTCAAGACACTTAAATGCTAATAGGATTGTTAAGTGTAAGTAAAAAACACTGCAAAGTATAACAAAGATAGGAATGGCCATACAGAGATTTTGAGAGAAGATATCTCCCAGTCACTTATCTAGAGTAAGGAAGGAATTCAGGAAGGAGGTAGAGTTTGATCTAAACCTAGAAGGATTGATGGATTTCATAAGAATGTAAAAATAGTATTCTATACAAAACAAACATTTGAGTTATTTGAAGAATGGACTATAGTTTACCTGGGTAGTAGAAGTCTTTTTTTTTTCTTTTTTTATTATTTGTCTTGTGTTTTGTTTTGTTTTGTTTTGTTTTTAGCCATCTTTCAGGTAGTAGAACTCCTGATTTGCATCCTTAACTCCCTAAAACTTGCTCCTCCACAAGGGTTCCTGTGTCAGTAAATGGCAGCACCATTTATCCAGTTTTTAAAACCTCTCTCAAGTTTGAGAGAGTTCCTAGTTTTTCTCATACTCCACATCCAATCCACCAGCAGGTCTTTTTCATTCTACATTTGAAGTTCTCAAACACATTTACTTCCTTCCCCTGTCATCTCTGATGACACAGGTTTTATTTGCCCACTATTACTCTCGGCAGACTGACCACCTATCTTTTGAACACCAAACTCCTCTTCAGTGCCTTTGTATTTGCTGTGCCCTGTGGAGTGTTTTTCCTGTAGATCTTTGCTGCTTCTGTTTCACATTATGCTGATCTTGGCTCCATTGTCACTTCCTCAAAGACATCTTTCCTAACTTCTCTGTCTGAAAGAGCCCCTACCCCATCATTCTCAATTCCTAGTGCCCTTTTTTTCTTACTAGCCCGTATTACTCTGAAGTTAAATTATGTGGTAATAATTTAACAAATTATTAGTGAATATGGACTTTGTCTTATTCACTAAGATATTCTTAGTTTTTAGTCTAGCTCCTACATATAGTGAGTGTTCAATATTTATTGAGTAAATGAATTATAGATTATACATGCAGATTATAAATTATAGTGAAGGTTCTAAATGTCAGATTGAGATGTTTGTATGTAATTTACTAAGTAGTTTACCAGCCACTGTGAATCTTTGATCAGAATCACCTGATTAAAGCTCTGTATTAAGAAAGTTTAGCTGTAGTACAAATACTGTCTCATTAAATATTTACATAAGTCCTATGAGACAGTATTTATTTTCACCATTTTGTAGGTGAGAAAAATGAGGCTTAGAAAGGTGAAGTAACTTTTCTAGCACTAAAGGTAATGATAGCCTGGAATAAACTCCAAAATCAAGTTTTTTAAACCACTATACAGTGTTTTGCAAGATATAGGATATGGTAATGAGAAAGGGAGCAAAACAGTGACTCCATTTTTTTTAAGGATTTTATTCATTCATTCATTCATTCATTCATTCACTTATAGAGAGGGGAAGGGAGGGAGAAAGAGAGGGAGAGAAACATCAGTGTGTGGTTGCCTGTTGCACGCCCCCAATTGGTGACCTGGCTCACAACTCAGGCATGTGCTTTGGCCGGGAATTGAAGCAGTGACACTTTGCATTGGTCAATCCACTGAGCCACACCAGCTAAGGCTAGCTTTTTAAGCCTTGGTAATTGGAAAAATGTTGGTAGAGAAATAACTTTTTGAAAGACCCTATTTAAAATAACCACAAAATATATAACAAGGATTTCAGGTAGTTTATGCTAAAATCAAATTCAAAATAAACAAATTTTGTGCTCTAGAGATTTGTTATAATGCATTTAGACTTATGAACCATTTAAGAATTCTGTTACCATGACACCTTATGTAATGTATAATTTATTCTAGCTTATCAAATCAATATTTTAGTAAAGAAAGGCTTTAAATAGCCTGGCTGGTGTGGCTCAGTAGATTGAGTGCTGGCCTGTGAACCAAACAGTCACTGGTTCGATTCCCAGTCTGGGCACATGCCTGTGTTGTAAACCAAGTACCTAGGAGGGGGTGCACGAGAGGCAAACACACATTGATGTTTCTTTTCCTCTCTTTCTCCTTCCTTTCCACTCTCTAAAAATACATAAATAAAAAATCTTTTTTTAAGAAAGAAAAGCTTTACATGTTCTGTAAACTCATCTAGTTTTTTCATTGTTAAAGTTGATTTTAATAAGGAAATTAACTTGAAATATTAGATCACGTCCCTAAACAGGTATATGCAAGAGCAGTGCCTAGCAGGTAGTATACATTCAGTAAGTGAAGAAGTGAATTTTTTTAAGTGACAAAGTAAGGTTCTACTTCGCTTTCAAAGTTACTTACTTTTGTTCTGGTTTTAAAAGATGCACAGTTTGAAACTGATGAACGAATCACACCCTTGGAATCAGCCCTGATGATTTGGGATTCAATTGAAAAGGAACATGACAAATTTCATGAAGAAATACAGAATTTAATTAAAATTCAGGTATGAATATTACTATGTTTATCATTATTTGTTACTTTCTAGAAAATGAAAATATAACATCTAAAGAAATTAAGAGCCACTCTAATAGAAGTTGGGCACTAAACCCAGAGTAAAATTTAATATAATCATTTTCTTTAGAAAACCTTTGGTTTATAGTCTTGACATGAGCTCTAAGAGCTAGGACTTAGTGTTTGCCACCTAAGTATTTATTGCCCACACTTAGGAAAATTTGCCACATCTATTTAAAGATCATTAAGCAGTTTGAAAAGCTTGAGGTTTGTGCCCTCTCAATTTTTATTTAAAGATTGTAAATATAAAAAAGTAGAATATTTGACTTTAAAAATCAACAGATTTTTGTGGTCAAGAGAATGTAAAGTTTTAACTATGTAGAGGGAGTTTTAGGAGTAGCCTATTAAAGAGTGATAAGCCAGCCCTGGCCAGGTGGCTCAGTTAGTTGGAGCATCATCCTGTACACTCAAGGGCTGTGGGTTCAATTCCTAGTCAGAGCACATACCTAGGCTGCAAGTTTGATCCCTGGTCGGGACGGTTACAGGAGGCAACCAATTGGTTTTTCTCTCACATTGATATTTTTTTCTCTCTCCCCCTCCCATTTTCTCTAAAAAGAAAATCAATAATACACATCCTCAGTTGAGGACTTTTTAAAAAGACAGTAAAACTTTAATAGAAAGAGTGATAAGCTACCCTGGCTGGTGTAGCTCAGTGGATTGAGCGCGAGCTGCGAACCAAAGCATCGCAGGTTCGATTCCCAGTCAGGGCACATGCCTGGGTTGCAGGCCATGGCCCCCAGCAACCGTACATTGATGTTTCTCTCTCTCTCTCCCTCCCTTCCCTCTCTGAAAATAAATAAATAAAATCTTAAAAAAAAAAAACTACATTAAAAAGAAAAAAAGAAAGAGTGATAAGCCAAAAACGTCACTCAAAGATGTAAGAGCAAAGTTTTTCTAAGAGGAATTTTGTTAGAAAAATAAACTTTTCCACATTTTTAAAAAATGTTTTACTGTTGGGTAGGAGGGGAAATCCAGGTGGTATCCCACCTCCCCACGAATTAATTATTGATAATATAGTGACTGTCAGGTAGAATTAAGACCTGAATGGGCAGGAAAGTGACTGCTTCTTTTAAGAATTTCAATGCAAGGCAAAGAGATTGTCATGTTATCCCAATTTGGGGGGTTTCTAGTGGAAGCAGGCCTTTGTTAATATACAAGTGAAAAGTCAAGTGGGTTACCATAAAATATATAACAAACATGTACTATATTGCTTACTCTTTACCAAGTACTATTCTAAGTACATTCATATAAAATTCTCTAACTCTCACAACAAACCTATGAAGTAAATACTTTTATTTCCACCCTGTTACATATAAGGAAAAAGGAGGCATCAAGAGGCTGAATAATTTGTCCAAGTTTATAAAGCTACTTAGATGGTAATAGTGGTCCCATATCTTAACCACATATGGTATCAAAAAGGGGAATTTATAAAATGATTATTGAAAAGCTTCTGGCTTCCTAGGTTTCTATTAGAGACTTTCCAGGTATCCTCTCTAGCAGATTTTATATATCCTAATCTTCACAAATGCCATTTAGTTCCCCTCTCATTTCTCTTTTGCTCAAAATATTTAAGTGGGTCCTAAATGTACGTGATAAAGCTTCTAATTTATTTATTAATACTTGCCTTTAATTTGACCTAAATTAGAAGGAGATACAATGCTGTGTTTATTAGTATATATGACATTTTTTCATGTCTTCTCAAACAACAGTTACTTTATCTTTGACAAATATTTTATATAATTTATGAAATCAAAATTATTAAACTACAAAAAAAATTTATTTATTTTTGTCATTTTTTCCTCTTTCTTTTTTTATTGTTGTTAAGTACAGTTGCCTTCATTTTCCCCCCACCACACTCCCTGCCTTTAGCTTTGTCCGTGAGTCCTTTATACATGTTCCTTGATGACCCTTCCCTATCTTTCCCCTGTTTTTCCCTTCTCTCTCCCCTCTGGTTACTGTCAGTTTCTTCTTTATTTCAGTGCCTCTGGTTCTATTTTGCTTGCTTACGTGTTTTGTTGATTAGATTCCACTTATAGGTGAGATCATATAAACTACATAAAAATATTTTAAATGAAGTACCAAATTTTTCGTACTGTAAGATGCACTGGACCATAAGATGCACCTAGGTTTTAGAGGAGGAAAATAGGAGAAAAAATTTTGAAGCAAAAAATGTGGTAAAATATTTAATACCATAAATAACATAGGCCACCAACCACCCCCCCAATATCGAGCCAGGTAAGCTACATTCTGACTATAAGATGCACCCCTCCTTTTCTTCCCAAATTTGGGGGGTGCATCTTATAGTCGGAAAAATACGGTAGTTATTTCAGTATTAAACAACAATTGAGTATTTCAAAAAGCAATCTAACATATATATTTGTCATCCTGTCTTTTAGGCTATAGCTGTTTGCATGGAAAGTGGCAATTTTAAGGAAGCAGAAGAAGTCTTTGAAAGAATATTTGATGGCTCACATACGGTAATTATTTAAATTAAAATCAGAATTTTAGAACTGTTTGTATGCAATGAGGAAAATTGAAAGAACGTGGAAGGAGAATAAGAATGGTGTATAGAACAGTGCTGTCCAATAGAAGTATAATGCAAGTCACATATGTGATTTTAAATTTTCTGGTAGCTGCATTAAAAAACTAGAAAGAAACAAGTGGAATTAATTTTAATAACATTGAACCCACTATTTTTAATATTTTAAAAATCATTTTAAACATTTAATTATTATAAAAATTGATGAAATATTTTGCATTCCTTTTATGGACTGTCTTCAAAACTTGGTATGTATTTTACATTTTTGTCTAATTTCAGGGCTTAAACATTTTAAGGGTTCAGTAGCCATGTGTAGCTAGTGCCTACTATATTGGGCAATGCAGGTATGGAGGAAGGCATTAACACTTGCTTATTTTTCTTACGGTTTCTTATGTGATCATTGTTCACTTTTGTATCTCTGTATAACATTAAGGTTGAATATTAAAAATACAGTGCTATCAGAGTAAATTAAGCTTATTCAAAGAAAAGATAGCTTTTCTGTGAATTTATTGAACTTATTGACCAATAGCATACCTCTAGTACAGTACATGTAGCATAAATGTATAAGTAGGTGGTTTTGTTTGTTTGTTTGTTTGTTTGTTTGTTTGTTTTCACAAAAGGAACACGTTTGTATGATGAGCCCCTAGATCATGAATCAGAAGATCCCAGCACACCCATCCTCCAGACTTTGTCCCTCCTACCTTCTCATGGGCAACCACTGGCCTGACTCATAACATCCAAGATCAGCTTTACTTTTTTCTGAACTTTATATAATAGAGTCATATAGCAAGTTTATATGTGTAAGATTGATCCATGGTATTGCTTATAATAGTTTGTTCATTCTCATTGCTTCATTGTAGGAATATATTACAATTTATCTATTCTACTGTCAATGGACATTTGAGTCATTTTCCAGTTTTGGACTATTACATTCCTTTATCCATGTCTTTTATAAAACATATAGTATACTTAGGAATGGAACTGATAGGTTATAGGATATGAATATAGTCAGTTTTGGTAGGTGCTGCCAAATAATTTTCCGAAACAGTTATATTATCTCAGTTCCTCTAGTGCTGCAGGAGAGTTTCAGTTACTTCACAGACCTTATCTGTGGTTTTCTTTTTAGTCATTCTGGCAAATATGTACTCTGTCACACTGAGTTTTAATTTTGTGTCCCGCTGATGACTAATGCAGGTGAGCATCTTGTCATTTACTGGTATATGTAGAGTTGGGGGGCAATCATCTTAATCCCTTGAGGGACTGAGCCAAGTTGGTCGTCAGTTGTAGTTTTAGAAAGGCTCAATCTATCTCTAATTTGCTCTTGTTCCTAGGGTATAACACTCCAGATTGCAGCAGAAAGCTTGATACATTGATTGGGTTCCCTGCCCCCACTTTTTTATAAACAAAGACTGTAATTGTACAGATGCTATCTTATTTCTTAAATTTGGTACTGGACATTCAGGTTTGTAGTATTTTAAGTCCTTTATTATGTGTGTGAAATATATTTTTAAATTAAAAAGAAAATAAATCAGTGGGCTATTTAGAACATTAGATTTTTAAAAATCTTGTGTGTCTTTGAGTTTGTTTTTAGAAAGTGATGTTTTTAATAGATGACAAAATTTCTAGTATCTTATTGTGATTTTTGTGTTGTTTCTTCTGTTTTCTCTAGTCTTTACAAAGGAAATTGCTTAAGATAATCTCTCAGAAAGATACGTTTCATTCCTTTTTTCAACACTTCAGCTATAACCACATGATGGAGAAAATTAAGAGTTTTGTGAATTATGTGCTTGATGAAAAATCATCAACATTTTTAATGAAGGTATGCATATTTCAGAAAGACTGGTAGACTTAGGAGAAATTATTGTAATAAAGAAGAATAGTTAAAATAGAAATTCTTAAAAAACAAATCAGAATTTTGTTTAGTGATTTTTGTAGAAGAATGTGGCAAAGAGTTACAATTAGTAAACCTAAAGGGTTTATCAGTGATCTTTGTAGTATTTTTACAACTTCTCAAAATAAGAGTTGAAGAAGTTTTCAAAATAAAAAGTTGAGAGACGAAACTTAGAATGAGTTAAGAAATAAGCAAAAATATTTAGTTTAAATTTAACTAAACTTTACAGAAAGTTTTAGCATATTTTTGGAAAAAGTAAAATTAGACTGAAAGGGGACCTTTAAATTTTTTTAATAACATATTAGCCTCTGTCTTGACCTCAGAAATTTTTAACAATGTGTTATGATGGAGCATTAATTAATTTGGGGTAGTTTTATTTTTGAATATCTGGATTTTTTAAGTGACCTTTTTTCTTAAAATTGCCAAGAGAACGTTGTGTGTATAACATAGATTTACAAGAAAAGATTTCCATAAGCACGTATCTAAAGTAGCTGCAAGTGATGTCAGTTGCTGGGTAAAATAGCAGCACAGTGCCCTTGATTGGCTTGTGAGTAGGTACTTTTGTTATGGCTACCAAAGAATTCGCTTTAATTTAATGTTTTTTGTTTAAAAGCATTCCTTTCTCTACCCAACCCCCTTTCTTAGGCAGCAGCAAAAGTAGTGGAAAGTAAAAGAGCAAGAACAGTTCCTCAAGAGAAGCCTAATGGTACTGATACTGACATGACAACTCAAGCTGATTTGGATACAGACAAAAGGTTTGTAAATCCACTGATAATATTTTTTGTCATATGAATATAGTATCTTTATGTAAAAATGATACAAGTGAGCCATTATTAGTACAAATAATTATTGAACATTGGGTATATTGTCTTGATGATGATGAACTTTTGGTGATTCAGAGTATGTAGAGTTATTTTATTTTATGACTTATGCAAAATTTTGTTACATGTGCTAAGCAAAAGTAGTAAAAATACATAGTTTAAATAGTGTGATATCATTTACTGTTCTTAGTAGCTTTGTGCCCTGGAACAGTACTGAGGCTGAAAACCTGAATCATCTGTACCCCTTAGTTCTCAGATCCCACTTGGCTGCATTATGTGACTATTGACTGTACTGAGGGGTATTCTAGTATTTAAGACATTTCTCATACATCTGTAAGGGTAAGCTATTCTGCTTCGTCAGGTGCTCCACTGAAGAAATAGTGATTTGCTCCACTGCTGGAGGGAAACCGCTATGTCAGTCATACATATTGAGAAACCAGAGTTCAGTCTCCAGAGTTATTTCTTCTTTAAGGGTTTGCAAGGGTAACTTTTACAAAATTGATTTTACCTTTTGCTTTGACTTTAGAAGCTAACCCTATCAATAATATAAACTCAACCATTATAAAGATCTTCCTTTCTGTTGAATCTGTGATTCATTCTCTCTATTCTTCCACCCTTAACCCAAGGCCAAATAGTCATCCTGTGGTCTCTGGATGGATATATTTGGCAATGGATATAATATATTACTTTTTTTTTTCTTGGGACCATTGACTTGAATGCTGAAGTTTCCCCATTTTTTAAAAAATTCTCATCCAAAGATATGTTTTGTTTGTTTTTTAATTGATTCGAGAGAGGAACACCTATGTGAGAGAGAAACATCAATTAGTTGCCTCTTGCACATGCCTCGACCAGGGATTGAACCCATAACCTAGGTGTGTGCCCTGACTTGGGATTGCACCCACGACCTTTTGGTGTAAGGGATGACATTCCAATTAACTGAGCCACCCAGCCAGGGCAGGTTCCCCATCTTAACTACTTATTTAGAGGTGGGGATTTGGGTCTAAGTCTGTGGATGTGGCCTGGATCACACCTCAGGATTGAGCTTAGTCATTTTATAATCTCTCTTGTCCGTGCTATTAGAACATGATCTGCTCCTCACTGTCATCTCCCCAAAATTTTTTCTAAAATGCTAGTTCTCACTGACTTATTTTTTCTAAGACACATTTTGAGACGTACAGATGCTATTTTTATTGGTTCAGTTGTTTCACTTTGTTTATGAAATCAAAGTTTAGCAATACTAAAACCTAATGCATTCTTGTGGCCCAGTCTTTCTGCCTGGTGTAATACTGCTTTAAAATAAAATGAAATTAAAACTTACCATTATTCTTACAGATAATGAACACGTCTTATGCCCCCTTCTTATGTAGTACCACACGCTATTTCAAATGTCTCTTAGACACAAAGTAAATCTGTGTAAAACAATTCTTGTTGTCATCCACTCTGTACCCTGACTTTCATTCACATCATACATCCAGTTATCTCCCAAAGTGTTGTGAATTCCATCTCAGAAGTATCTCTCTAACTTATCCTTTCTTATCATTTATATCCTAGATTATTGTGTAGCTTTCTACCACACAAATCCATTCTTGACATGACTTTAGAGTTAGCTACCCATGAAAACAAGTCTGTCTAAATACTTCAAAGCTTAATAACCTCTGCTGGGTTTCAGTTTCTTACTAGATGAGTTAGCATTTACTGGCATGGTTTGCAAAGCCTTACATAGCCCCTTTCTGTTTTGTTTTTTCTCCCCCATAAACAACCTTGTCCCTAAGCATTAACCCCTCCCTCTCCACATATACCATACTTTCTAGCAACCAGAACTTCTCCCTCATCTTGAAATACAAGCTTCTTTATGCCTCCAATTTTGAATTTCCTGTTTTCTAGTCTAAGAATACTTCCCATTCAAGGTCTATAACTCAAAGATCACCTATAAGAAGTCTTCTTGAGCTCTCTGACCAGAGTTGTCTCATCTGTGCTTCCATAGCATCAAGTCACACCTATGTAAATGGACTTACCTTGGATAGTAATTTATCTGTTTACCTATTTGTATCTTTCACTAGATTGAGAATTCTTTAAGGGGTTTGTGTTCTTGGTACCTCGGTCATTACTAGGCATACAATAGAACTTGTAGTGGGCTGGGCACAGAGGGCAAAACCAAAACTAGACACAAAGTAGAAATCAGGAATCAAGCATCTTGGAAGCAAATAGACAGAATGAGAATTGTGACTGTGAGGTCAGACAAATGCTAGGAAAGATGAAGACCTTTTGTTATCAATACTAGATGAAATAAATATTTTGCTCTGATAAAGCTTATAAACTATTTGAGACCATAACAATTATAGATGTGAAACAGAGACAATAGCAGACAGTACATAATTTGTTAGTTTGTAGGTGAACTTACATGCTGAAAAACTTGATATGGACACCTTCAAAGACATGTGAGCACTGAGCAGGGCCTTGGAGGGTGGTTAAGATTTTGACAAATAATTGAAAGAGGAAATGTTTAAGGAGAGAGTAGTTGCTGTGAAGTTGTAGTGGTATAAATGGTCATGCAGTGTCTGTGGGAGCTAATTTTAACTGTCACAAAGGGAGGGCTTTGTAAAAAATTCAGTTAAAGACTGGTGGAGAGGACAAGAAATTGAACTTGAATAGAAATAGAGATCCATGGGACAGTTTTTAAAGAGTGACATTATGAATGCTTGATTACAACATCAATTCTGCTTAAATTGTGTTTGGGGAAGCTTGATTTACTATCTCTAGTAAGCATATCTGGCAGAAATTATCCATGTTGTAATGGATAATATATGTCCTAATGGTACCAGGATTTCTTTCTCAAAGATATTTTGTACAAATTGAAATTTTTACTAAATTGACTTGTGGAAAGTACTATTCTTACTAAATGTTTCTTTTTGTTGCATTCTTAAAAATTTTTTTCTTCTTTAAAGTGTTAATGACAAACCATCTGCAGTAACTGAGTCCTCACGGGATATAGTATCCTTAATGAGGTGAGGTAAATTGACATTTTTCTTCACTGTTTTTTAAACCTTTTTAGCAATTCATGCAGACCTAGGTAGATCATGATAACTGCCACAAAAATAGTATGAATGAAGAATATCACAGGGTCCTACTTACATCAACAGGTGTTCTAGCCCCTGACATATCCTGAAATTCCAAAGTCTAGAGACCTGCCTCTGGGACCCTGAGTTGTTTCCCATTGTCTCTACTTGCCCCCTTATTAGAATACACACTCAGGGGGCACCTGAACTTAAAGCAGATGTTTAGTAAACTCTTCCTCTGCCATTAAAACAAGAATAGGATACTGCCAAAGGAGGGGATGTAGGTTACATTTCTAATGAATGTTACAAATTTTTATTTTATGAAATTACTTGAAAAACTGTATATGACCTACTATAAATGCTGTAACAGACAATGTCACGTGTTCAGAGAGCAGGAAGTCTGCATGAATGGAGAGGAGCTCGTTGGGTTATCTATGGGGACTCTGAAATAACTCATGATAAAAGCAGTAGTTAGGGGCAGAGAGAGATCTGTGAGTGGTAGGAAATGCTTGGAAGGATGGTGATTGACTGATCAATGATAGTGGGTGGTACACCCGAGTGGCATAAGTTCTCACAGGCTGGTGTCTTTATGGAAGCAGGATCCTGAAAGTGGCATTCATTTACACAAGACCCACCTCTGGGAACCTATGGCTCAAGGAAGGTGGAAGATTAAGTCAATCTCTACTTGAGAAAGCCACAAAGGAGAGAAATATTGTCCCCAAGGGAGAGCTACATGTTGAACAAAGCAAAGAGGTGGGGTAACTGGTGAAGAGGGTATAAATGGCATTCCAGAGGGCAAAAGAGAAGGTTTTGGGAGGGAAGGAAAGGATTAGCAGGTTGGGTAGAGCACTAACAGGGGTGAAAGTATTGACTTCAGGTGGTGATAAAATAGCTGTGTGAGCTTAACTAAACTACTTTATCATCATAGTTTGCTCCTGTATAAAACTGGAATAATACCAACTTTTTAGGGATGCCAAAAATTTCTGCCACATCCAGTATTTCCAAACAGCCTTTACCATTCAAAAAAAGCCTTTTTTTATGAAGTTCTAAAGATAATCAAGTGGTATCTTGCCATCATATATAAAGGAATTTTTGGAATTTCTCTTTGGGGAAATAAACTTATAAGCCATAGGAGAGAATGAAAATTAATACTTTACACTCTGAAATTTTGTTTACTTGATCTGTTTAATTGGAAAACCAAAAGAATCTTGATTTCTCAGTAGATGAGATGGAGAAAATAAGTGATGGGAGAAAGGGAAGTCTGATAACATAAAATCTAAAAGGACATAGGTTAAGATGGAACACTAAGCCAGGAGAGCATGAAAGGGAACAGATTAAAGTACAAGAATGTCCAAGAACAAAGGAGACAAATCACCTCGCTTTTTCCATAGCTTTTCTAGTCTTTATGAAAGTAATCACAAGCTTTGATGTTTCATTTAGGTCTCACAAGAATCTCTTCTTATCTAACTCACAACATGGTTGCCACCCACAAGATTCTAATGAGGAAGAAGAAAGACAAGAAACTCTTAAAAGTGAGTACTCGTATTACTGTTTTAAAAGTGGAAAATTGAGGTGTTCTCAAAGCAAGCCAGTCCTTGACTTCGTCACCACAACGCGCGCGCGCGCGCACACACACACACACACTTCAGAACATTGAAACACAAAGATTAAATGTAATGACTGGACAGAGTTAATTAGAGGTGGTAGCTAAGTTAGAAAGTTAGGCACTCTGACTACCCAGCCTAGAGAACTTTTTTTAAAAATATATTTTATTGATTATGCTATTACAGTTGTCCCATTTTCCCCCTTTTATTCCCCTCCGCCCTGCACACACCCCTACCACCACCACATTCCCCCTCTTTAGCTCATGTCCATGGATCATACATACAAGTTCTTTGGTTTCTACATTTCCTATACTATTCTTAACCTCCCCCTGTCTATTTTCTACCTACCATTTATGCTACTTATTCTCTGTATCTTTTCCCTCCTCTCTCCCCCTCCCACTCCCCTGTTGATAACCTTCCATGTGACCTCCATTTCTGTGGGTCTGTTCCTATTCTAGTTGTTTGCTTAGTTTGTTTTTGTTTTAAGTGTGGTTAATAACTGTGAGTTTGCTGTCATTTTACTGTTCATATTTTTTATCTTCTTTTGCTTAGATAAATCCCTTTAACATTTCATATAAGGGCTTGGTGATGATGAACTCCTTTAACTTGACCTTATTTAAGAAGCACTTTATCTGCCCTCCCATTCTAAATGAAAGTTTGCTGGATAGAGCAATCTTGGATGTAGGTCCTTGCCTTTCATGACTTGGAATACTTCTTTCCAGCCCTGTGCCTGCAAGGTCTCTTTTGAGAAATCAGCTGACAGTCTTATGGGAACTCCTTTGTAGGTAACTGTCTCCTTTTCTCTTGCTGCTTCTAGGATTCATTCCTTCATTTTAATCTTGAGAAATGTAATTATGATGTGCCTTGGTGTGTTCCTCCTTGGGTCCAACTTCTTTGGGACTCTCTGAGCTTCCTGGATGCCCTGAAAGTCTATTTTCTTTGCCAGATTGGGGAAGTTCTCTTTCATTGTTTGTTCAAATAAGTTTTCAATTTGTTGCTCTTCCTCTTCTCCTTCTGGTACCCCTATAATTTGGGTGTTGGAACATTTAAAGATGTCCTGGTGGTTCTTAAGCCTCTCCTCATTTTTTTGAATCCTTCCTTCTTCATTCTTTTCTGATTGGATGTTTCTTTCTTCCACCTGGTCCACTCCATTGATCTGAGTCCCAGTTTTCTTCCCATCACTATTAGTTCCTCATACATTTTCCTTTATTTCACTTAGCACGGCCTTCACTTTTTTCATCTAATTTGTGACCAAATTCAACCAGTTCTGTGAGCATCCAGATTACCAGTGTTTTGAATTGTGCATCTGATAGGTTGGCTATCTCTTCGTCACTTAGTTGTATGTTTTCTAGAGCTTTGATAACCTAGAATACTTTTGCTGTGATAGTACACTGCTTTTCTATTTAAACTTTATGTAGCAATTTGAAATAGTTACTTATCTAAAACATAAACACAGTTGATTCTTGTTATTCACAGTAGTTATGTTCTAGGAAGTCTCCACGAACACTGAATTAGTGAATACTGAGACATCATGGGACAGTATAGGGATTGGTTTCTTGGAGCCTCTTGGTCATCCATTTTTGTCAACTGATCAATATATAACCTTGTTTTATGTGTTTCTGTTAAAAGATACCTTATTTAATATATATTATATGTTCATTAACGTTAAACTCATGGCCAACAACATTATAATGAAAATTAATTGCATATAGAAGCTAGCTATCCTCCTCATTGCATTCAGAATTTAGTATCCTTATTAAAGGCATTGTTGAATTGATTTAAGAAAAAAGCAGCAATAGCCATGCCTGAAGGAAGCCTATCTAACATATTCTCTCTAAGGAATACTAGATAGCATTTATGTAATACACTTGGGCCTTTTTAAAATTACCAATAAAAAGAACAAAAATGTTGCACTAAATAGACTATTAAAAGGACAGTTTATAGCACGAGAGCCAAATAAGAAGGCAGAATTTCACCTTGGGTAACTTCAGCTGGGAATGTGCATGTTGGGTACTCAAATTTTTTGCCACTCTGCACATGTCTATCTGCCTATGACCACAAAAGCACTATGAGGATTGACTTTTGAGTTACAGATTTTAATAGGTAGGTGAATTTGCAGGTGCAGAATCCATGAATGATTAGAATTGACTATATATAGAATCTAACCATGCTCCTCATTGCATTCAGAATTTATTATCCTTATTAAAGGCATTGCTAGATTGATTTAAGAAACAAGCAACAATAACCAAAAATAAATCTTAAAAAACAGTGCATAATTTTTTGTCATAATTATTTTCAACTATAATTTGTTTAAAAGTTCCTTCTTACCATGTATGCATTCAACCAGTGTTTATTGAACTGACACCATATTCTAGATACTACACTCATGTAGGGATTTTAAAACCTTGTTGATCCAAACCTAAATACACTGATCAATATAAAAATCATAGATGTACCAGCTTGATGCCAGGCACATAGCAGCCCTGCAGTAAATATTAATTGAACACATTTATTATTCATAGTTGGTAGCTGATGACATAGCCACTATTAGCTAATACTTGTAAATTACAGCTCAAAAATATTTACACCCATAGATATCATCCTCATTTTATATTTTATTTTTTTAAATTTTATTTTAATTGTTGTTCAAGTACAGTTTTCTGTCTTTTACTGCCATCCCAGCCCACCCACCCCCCCAGCCCTCCCCATTTTAAAGACGGTAAAGTTAAACTCAAATATTTGCGTCATGTTGCTGGAGTTCCAAAGTTATTTTTCTACCTCTATTGGTACAAAATGCTAGGAATTATAATTCTAAACTAAAATAAATTTGTTCCTTTGACCTACTTCATTGCCTGTTTTACTAACCACAGAAACTGCTTGGTATCAGGAAATGAATAATCCTTGTACATTCACAAAAACTGGAGGGATTCTCAGGGCCCCTGATGGACTACCTTTCTTAACACATAGAGTTTTAGAGTGATAGTGTTAAATTCTAAAAACCCTGTTGAAATTTTTATTTAAAATTGCATTGTAGCAATAGATAATTTTGAGACAACTGACATAATTAAGTCTTTCTGTGGGTATTTCTCTATTTAGATTGTCTTCCATATGTATTTTCTTATAACGTGTGTGTACAAATACACACATATATAGTAAAACGTTTTAAGTTACTATACATAGATAGATCTTGACTACTTTTGCTAGATTTATCCCTAAGAATGTTACATTTTTTGTTATATTGTAAATATTATCTCTCCGTTGTTTTAATTAAATATTTTAACTATTTGTTGCTAATGTACAGAAATACTATTGAGTTTTGTTTATTGATCTAACAATCAAATAATTGTTTATTATCTAACCATTTTATTAAATTCTTAATTCTATTTGTAGATTCTTTTAGTTTCTATATAAAAAAATTCTTTCAATAATTATAGTTCTATTTCTTTTCACTTACAGATACACATATGTCTTGTCTTACTGAACTCTGAATAAGAAAAAGGGAATGACTGTACCATACTGTTTTGAGACTTGAAGGGGGGAGAAAATTAAGCACATAGAATTCTTTTTCTTTAAAATAGCTAAAAAAATAAGTAGGAATTTTGTGGTGATCTTAAAAATATAATTCCTCTTTTTCTTTTAATGTAAAACAATTTTTGATGGCAGTATTCCTACTTTTAGGTAGAAGAAAGACAGAGAAAAACAGACAAGCAACCAAAAGAATGAGTGTTTTAAACAATCAGCCAGAAACTTCTAAAAATCATCGCTCTAGGAAAAAACAGGTATTTGTTTATTATCTTAAAATGATACTTGATGGACAGTAAAGTCATAACTTGAATAATTATAAGTATTTCACATTATTTTTCTTCAACCCTAAAAAAATCTTGAGTATAAAATATTTCTTCTTGGCTGTCTTTTATTTTGCCATCTTAGATTGACCAATCTCCCCATTAAAAGTTTCAAGAAAATACTTCACCCACATTGTTAAAATAGTCTTTTCTTAAAAAGTGTTTTTTTTAAAGATTTTATTTATTTATTTTTAGAGAGAAGGGAAGGAAGGGAGAGGGAGAAACAGAGGAAGAGAAGCACTGATGTGCGAAACATCAGTCATTTGCCTCTCACATGCCCCTAACTGGAGACCTAGCCCACAACCCAGGCACGTGCCCTGACAGGGAATCGAACTGGTGACTTTTAGGTTTGCAGTGTGGCACTCAATCCACTGAGCCACACCAGCCAGAGCTAAAATAGTCTGACATTGGGTATTGATAATGACATTTGTTTAAAATTATTGTGATACTATCATAAAGTCAGTTCATCGTATGTAAGTTGGATCTTAAATCCACATATATATCCTTTTATATTTATATTTGCCTAATAGAGGTCCAATTCAAATAAGGTTATTCTGTGCTTAAAAAAAAAAGATACCATCTGGTATGGAATTTTTCTATTCAGAAAGTTAAGCTGGGTTAGTTTTAAGACTGACTTCATTTATTTCTCTCTCAGTGAATATTGTCCAGGGTCTGAAACAATTGTTTCCTGTATTTTATCTGGTTTTCTAGTTGTTTACAGCAGGTGCATAAATCTGGTCCTTGTTCTGTCATGGTTGGAAGTAGAAAGTGACCTGGTACATTTTTCTTACTCTCTCATATTAAAGATGATTTAATTCTTTATAAGCTTTTTTTAAAGATTATATTTATTTATTTTTACCGAGATGAGAGGGAGAAAGAGCTAAAGAAACATCAGTTTGTGAGAGAAACATCAATCAGCTGCCTTTTGCATTCCCGCAACTGGGGACTGGGTCCGCAACCCTGGCATGTACACTGACCAAGAACCGAACCAGCAACCTTTCACTTTGCAGGATGCCATTCAGACAACTGATCTGCGCCAGTCTGGCCACTTGATAAGCTTTTGGCAAATGGCTCACACTGAGATATTAGAGCCAGGGTCAAGTTCAAGGCTACTAGGAATATCTCCTGTGATTAAAGCTTTTGTTTAAGCCTTGCTTTTTCCCCCTAGTGAGCAAGCAAAAACTACTTTTACTTTGCTTCCTGCACATATTGCTTATCTGTGTGATTCTTTATTTAACCTTGTCACTTCTATTTTTGGAGCTATTTCAGATTGAGGGAGGCTCTTGCTGTTTTAGACCAGGGATTTAAGGTTTGCACCTCAATATGTGTTTCTTACTTTGGAACAGTGTACATCACAGGCTGTCTGAAATCTGTAAGCTGCAGTGTTTGTGCCCTGCTTCTTTGTATACCTTTTGTCAATTTCCACTGGTAATGTATCCTTTTCACCTATACTATGGTTCAGATCATAGGGGGTCTTCTGATTTTATCAGACTTTAGGATTTTATTTCTTTCATTTTTGCTATTGGGTGAATTCCCAAAAGAGAAGGGGGAATGGCTATAACCTTATGCCACCAATAGTTTTACATATTTTTTCTTTGGTATTTTGCATTGAGAATATGATGTGCCATGGTTTAGATTTTTTTGGTATTTATCTTACTTTGTATTCTCTGATCTTCCTGTACCTATTTTGTTGTCTGTCGATAACTTTGGAAAATTCAGGCCATTGTCACTTTAAATCTTTTTTCTATGCTTTATCTCTTTTTCTGGTGTTCCATTATGTGTGTGTGACATCTTTTATAATTGTCCCACAGTTATTGACTATTCATTTTTGTCTGTTCTTTGCTTTTCTTCCTTTTTAAAATATTTTTGATGCATTGCTGTATTTTGTTTAGTAATATTTTGTTGAGGACATTTGTGTCTAAATTGGCCTATAATTTTCTTTCTTTTTAGTTTCCTTACCTGGTTTTGGAATTCGGATAATGCTGGCCTCATAAAATAAGTTTGGGAGCCTTCCCACCTCTTGAATATTTTGAAATAGTTTGAGAAGGAGAGGTGTTAGTTCTCAGAATGTTTGGTAAAATTCCCCTGGGAAGCCATCTAGTCCAGGGCTTTTGTTTGTAAGGAAGTTTTTGATTATTGCTTTTCAGTTTCACTAGATGTAATCTGTCTATTCAGATTCTTTGATTCTTCCTGATTTAGTTTGGAAGATTGTATATTTGTAGGAATTTATTCATTTCGTCCAGGTTGTCCAGTTTTTTGGCATATAGTTGTTATATTTTCTTATAATCCTTTATATTTCTTTGGTGTCAGTTGTTATTTCCCCTCTTTCATTTCTGATTGTATTTATTTGGGTCCATGCTCTTTTTTCTTGATGAGTCTTTTTAAAGTTTTGTCGATCTTATTTATCTTTTCAAAGAATTATCTCTTGGATTCCTTGATCTTTTTTGTATCTTTTTTTTTTACCATTTCATTTATTTCTGCTCTGATTGTTATTATCTCCTTCCTTTCTACTTCTACTCACTTTGGACTTTGTTGTTCTTTTTCAAGTTTCTTTAAATGTGAAGTTGGATTGTTTATTTGAGCTTTTTCTTGTTTGTTTGTTTTTTTTGAGATAGGCCTGTAATGCTATGAATTTCCATCTTACGATGGCTTTCCCAATGTCCCACAGATTTTGGATTGTTGTATCCTCATTTTCACTTGTTTCAAGGTATCTTCTGATTTCTTCCTTAATCTTCTTGTTGACCTATTCATTGTTTACATGTTATTTATCTTCCATGTCTTTGTGTGTTTATCAGTGTTCTTGTGATTAGATTTGTAGTTCCATAGCATTGTGGTGAGATGAAATACTTGATATGATTTCAATCTTCTTAAATTTACTGAGACTTGTGGTATGTCCTAACATGGCTATCCTAGAAAATGTTCCATGTGTACTTGAAAATTATGTATACTCTGATGCTTTAGGGTGAAATGCTCTGAAGATATCAAATGAAATCCATTTGATTTAGTGTGTCCTTTAAGGCTGCTGTCTCCTTGTTGATTTTCTGTCTGGGAGATCTATCCATTGAAGTCAGTGGGGTATTTAAATCCCTGACTATGAATATATTTCTGTCAATCTCTCCCTTTATGGCCATCAAGATTTGCTTCACATATTTAGTTGCTCCTATGTTGGGTATGTAAATGTTTGAACGGTTATATCCTCATGTTGGATGGTTCCCTTTATCATTATGTAGTATCCTTCTTTGTCTCTTACTATAGCCTTGGTTTTAAAGCCTATTTTGTCAGATATAAATACTGCTACCCCAGCTTTTTTTTTTCCATTTGCATGAAATATCTTTTCCATCCCTTTACTTTTAGTCTGTGTGTGTGTATCTTTTGATCTGAGATGGGTCTGTTGGAGGCAGCATGTATGTGGATCTTGTTTTCTTATCCATTCAGCTACCTTCTGTCTTTTGGCTGGAGCATTTAAGCCATTTACATTTAAGGTGATTATTGATAGGTACATATTTAGTGCCATGTTATTGTTAGACTTTTTCTGTTTTTCTTTTCTTCTTTTTAAAGCACACCCTTTAACATTTGTTACAGTACTAGTTTGGTGTTAACAAACTGCTTTAGCCTTTTCTTATCTGGGAAGCTCCTTATTTATCCTTTGATTTAAAATAATAGCCATGCTGGATAAAGTAGCCTTGATTTTAGGTCCTTGCTTTTCATCTCCTTGAATATTTCACGTCACTCCCTTCTGGCCTGAAATGTTTCTGTTGAGATATCAGTTAACAGTCTAATGGGTGTTGCCTTGAATGTAACTTACTTGCTTTTCTCTTGCAGCTTCTAGGATTCTCTCCTTGTCTTTAAACCTTGTCATTTTAATTATGATGTGTCTAAGTGTAGGCCTCTTTGGGTCCAACTTGTTTGGGACTCTGGGCTTCCAGACTTGTGTGGCTTTTTCCTTCACCAGATTAGGGAAGTTTTCGGTCATTATTTCTTCAAGTAGGTTCTTGATCCCTTGTTCACTTTCTTCTTCTTCTGGTATTCCCATGATGTGGATGTTGTTACACTTCATGTTGTCCAAAATGGTTCTTAAGCAATCTTCATTATTTTTAAAATTCTTTTTCCTTTTTGCTGCTCTACCTGGGTGTTTTTTTCTGCCTTGTCTTCTAAATCACTAATTCGGTCCTCTGCTTCATCTAACCTACTGTTTTTTTCCCAGTGTATTATTTATTTCCGATACTGCATTCATTATTTCTGACTGGTCCTCTCATGTTTTTTCATGCTGTCGAATATCCTTATAATCATTACTCTAAACTCTCTATTGTTACATTGTTTGCCTTCATTTTATCTAGCTCTTCTGGAGAATTATCTTGTTTTTTCCAGTGGCTGTCTGTTTGTCTTCCCATTTTGGCTCTTTCTTTGTATTTGTTTCTATGTATTAGGTAGATCTGCAAAGACTCTGGTGTAGGTCTTTTTCAAATGCTAGTTATGACTGACCCTGGCCAATCTATTGAAGATATCAGCAATCCACAGCATGGGACTCTCTGTCAGGCCTGTTTGTGTGCAGAGAGTTCTTTGCATTTCAATTTCAGAAGTTTCTATGAACATATCTTAAAGCTCACTGATTCTTTCTTCATCCTGTCTAGTCTGCTGATTAACCCATCAGAGGCATTCTTCATTTCTGTTATCGGGTTGTTGATTTCTAGCATTTGCTTTTGAATCATTCTTAGGGATTATATCTCTGCTTACATTTATCTATCTGTTTTTATGTTGTCCACTTGAGCCTTGGCATATTAATCATAGGTATGTTAAATTCTTACTCTGATAATTCCCAAATCTTTGCCATGCCTGAGCCTGATGCTATGCCCCTTCAGACTGTGTTTTTCACCTTTTAATGTTCCTTATCATTTTTTGTTAATAGCTGGGCATAATTTGTCAGATAATAGGAA